CTTGAGCTACCCAGCCCGTCTCGATGGCTCCTTCGAACCGTCAGGCTCGGCTATGCGATTCAGTTCGCCCGGTGCCCTCCCAAGTTCAGGGGCGTCCACTTTACTTCAGGGAAAGCAGCAGATGCCCCTGTCTTGCGTGCAAAGATCGCAGTCCTGCTGTCGAAGGATGCGATAGAGCCGATTGGCCTCCAGCCAATATGAAGACGGGGTTTTACAGCCCCTACTTCATTGTACCCAAGAAAGGCGGTGGGTTAGAACCAATCTTGGATCTGCGTGTCTTGAACCGGGTCCTTCACCGGTTACCGTTCAAGATGTTGACACAGGAACGCATCTTCGGGTGCATCCATCCCCGAGATTGGCAACCCTCTAAATTGCGAGTAAATCACTCGCAAATGTGACTAAATCTTACTCTGGGCGACTAAATAATGTCTAACATTAGCCATTGGCTAATAAATTCTTAGATTTTACACGGCAGTATGTGTGTGAGAGGCGTTCAACACAGATTTTCACTCGATAAACACGCTGACAGAGCGATTGAGAGTTTCGCTCTCCGTCAAGCGATCTGTACTATTTGGATGCACTCAATGGATCATGTCATGTACTCAATGGATACGCAGTATGTAGCACGCAGCGCACCTGTATTTGGCTGTGGTTCGCGTCCGAAGGATGAGCATATCAGTACGAGGTCCTGCCCTCCGGGCTGTCCCTGTTGCCCCGTGTCTTCACGTAAGTTGCGGAGGTACCCCTTGTTCCCCTGAGAGAACAGAGCATTCGCATTCTCAACTACCTCGACAAAGTAGTCTCAGGATCAGTTGTGCGAACACAGGGATTTGGTGCTCTCACACCTCAGCCTGTTGGGCCTTCGGGTCAACTGGGAAAAGAGCAAACTCTCCCCGACGCAGAGGATCTCTTTTCTCGGTATGGAGTTGGACTCGGTCGAACAGACAGCACGCCTCACGCAGGAACGTGCTCAGTCAGTGTTGAACTGCTTGAATACATTCAAGAGCAGGATGGCGGTCCCACAAAGCTCCTGGGAGACTGCTTCAGCACTGGCTCCATGGCCGAGTCCCGAGGTGGGCGTGGCCACGCGGCACTCACCGGGTCCAAGTAACACCGGCCTGCCGCTTAACCTTCACCCCGTGGTCAGACCTTGCGTTCCTCCGGGCAGGAGTGCCCCGAGACCAGGTCTCCAGGCATGCTGTGGTTCACACGGATGCCTCAACCACCGGCTGGGGGGCCACGTACAACAGGCTTGCAGTGTCAGGGGTTTGGACGGGGCCCCAACTGCACTGGCACATCAACTGCCTCGAGTTGCTGGCAGTGCACCTTGCCCTGAGCCGTCTCAAAGGGCACTTACGAGGCAAGCATGTACTAGTCCGCACGGACAACACAGCGACCGTTGCGTACATCAACCGACAAGGTGGTCTGCGCTCCCGTCGCATGTCGCAACTCGCCCGCCACCTCCTCCTCTGGAGTCAGAAGCATCTGAGGTCACTTCGTGCTGTTCACATTCCGGGCCTGCTCAACCATACAGCCGACGAGCTGTCTCGAGCAATGCTCCCGGGAGAATGGCGACTCCATCCCCAGACGGTCCAGCTGGTTTGGAGACGTTTCGGAGCCGCTCAGGTAGACCTGTTTGCCTCTCCAGAAACCTCTCACTGCCAGTTGTTCTTCGCCCTGACCGAGGGAACACTCGGCACAGACGCACTAGCACACAGCTGGCCGCAGGGCCTACGCAAGTACGCATTTTCCCCAGTGAGCCTTCTCGCACAGACACTGTGCAAAATCCGGGAGGACGAGGAGCAAGTCTTGCTAGTGGCGCCGTATTGGCCCACTCGGACC